TATATTTATATATATTTAGCTATGCAAATATACCTTTGGATATAACATTTCAATAGTACTGCACAAATAATAAAAGCACCATCTTATTTACATTTGATTCATAGAATATTAGGTTGCAATGATATAAAATAGGACAGACTGGAGCAGAGGTATTTAGCTTCGGATATCCTTCAGTTATCAGAATAGGCAGTCTTTTTATTGGATACTATGTAAGGTCGTCCTGGCATTATGCTCCTTTTGTTAGAAATGAGCATCTCTTTATTAGAGCATTGTTAGACTGACTGCAAAGCAGCATCTCTTAATCAGAGCATTGTTAGACTGACTGCAAAACAGCATCTCTTAATCAGAGCATTGTTAGACTGACTGCAAAGCAGCATCTCCGAATCAGAGCATTGTTAGATTTTCTATAGAATTTTTTTTCTATCAGCCTATGGTCAGATCTACGCCATCTACACTAAACTGTGTGGATGGAGAAATCTCCCACTGGGCTAAGCTTCAGTATCTTGCTAGTCGAGCCCGCTGGCTGTCAAAATACCTGAACAATCTGATTGGATGCAGGCATTGTTCAGGTATTTTGACAGCCAGCGGGGCCGACTAGCCAAATCCTGAAGCAGTGGGAGATTCCTCCATCCGCACAGTTTAGCGTAGATGGAGGAATGTGTTGCACTTTTTCCATCTGACCATATAAAATCTGCAGATAATCTATAGGTGTATGGCCAGCTTCAGACTGACTGCAAAGCAGCATCTCTTAATTAGAGCATTGTTAGACTGACTGCAAAGCATTTTCGCCTAATTAAAGTATTGCTAGACTGATGGTACTATGCAAAGCAGTAGAACCTTTCCCAGCCTGGATGCAGCTTTGCATCTTATTACTGGAAGCCAAAATAAAGACATTTAGGACATTTTACTAGCTGCATGCAAAGCCCAACTCCAGGCATCCATCAAAATTTAACTGTGTGCTGTCCCTTTTTCCATTGTGCCTTCTGCCAAAGTGTATTCCTGATACATATTGTAATATTCTCTCTCAAAGTCAAATTTTCCTAGCACTTTCTGCATAATTTCCTGTCCCGGGACCTTACATGTTTTGACGATCGTTACCTGCTAGGGGATAGGTCTCACCGCCCCTTTGTACTTCTCAGCACTCTTTGGTGATGTAAACACATAAGTATGTTGTGGGCAGGATTATTACAATGTCGCTGTCTTTAGCTTTTTTCCCTTGCAGGGTTCCCTGGAGCCAGCCTTGTGTGTGCTAGTAAGATGTGTGTGTCTCCACAGGTACACCAAGGCAAGACACTTCCCTGCTTTCCACTCTAATCTCCTCCCTTCCCCCTTGTCCAGTGTCAGGGCTGCACCCTGACTTAACTGGTTTGCAGCACTCTGGCTTGGCTGCCATTCCACCCACCTGTGATTCCTCTGAGCAGACTGTGTAACGTTGCTCACTACTCCCAGGCTCCCTCTTATGGTCAGGTAGGAGAGCATCATCTGAGAGAGCCAGATGGGAGTTTCCTGCCTAAATGATGATGTCACCCCACTCACTATATATAAACCACTCAGTCCAGTCTGACCTTGCCCTTGCGTGGTTTTACCTGCCAGTGCATTCCTGCTGCTCTGAGTATCCAGATTCCGTGTATGAGTCGATCGTGGCTGACGTTCTCCTCTGGTTCCTGCTCCTGGCTTGTTCCTGACAACGCTGATCTCCGTGTTCCTTACCTGCCTTATACTTCTACCCACTCCGGCTCCTGACCTTGGCTTGTTCCTGTTCATGACTTTTGCTTGTTCTTGTGGACACTTTTCTTAATAAAGTATTTTTAACCAGCACCTTATGCTTGTCTGGTTTTCAATGTGCTCTCACATCCAGGCAAGTAGATAGACAGCTCCTGGAGACTGCTCTGTCCCTTGTGATCTAATACTGGACAGGAAGTTCAGGGAAACCGAGCCTAGAGAGTTGGAGCCAGTTGTTTGGAAACACGATGGCTGTAAGTGAATGGGCAAAAATGTAAAGACTTTGCTGGGCAATGTATATTTGTTTGATTTGGATTCATTATTGAAAAAAAGCGTGAGTTTAATACTACTGTTACCCCCTCTCCGAAAGTGAAATACCCATAAGTGAACATGTTACTTACTCTGCCTCTTCCATGTGCCGGTGCTCTGTGATTGACACAGTGCTGTCAAATAGGTTGATAAAGGAGTCTGTAGTCTGTGTAAGCACCAACAAGTGGGTTGTAATTGAATACAAAGGGCTCTCTTTGCCACGTCTTGAGGGTCAAATGTAGCAAAGGTGGTACCAAAGGTAAGTATATATTGCTGCAGAAGGGGGTAGGTTAGTCACCCTTGTATTTTGGCTTGCTTGGGCAAATGAAGGGTCAATTAAACACATAGTTACATCTTTCCAATTTGAAATGTATTGCTTTTTGCCACACATAGACAAAGATAAAGTATTTGAGCATATTCACTTTGCAAATGGAATGTTCCTTGAGCTTAGTAAGTGTGGTAAAAATCATGTGCAAGGAAGATTTACAATGTAATAGGATGATGAAAGTCAGTAGTGGTTTACCTCATTCACTAAGCTAAGAGAAAATTCATTTCTTGTGGCAAGTTGTTTGAACATGCCATGCTCGGGGCATTGTAATTACATCTTAGAACTATGTAGAAGAATCTTGTGCTTTGAGATCTGCACACTATAGATTTTGTAATGTAAGAAATACATCCCCAATGGTATACTTATAGCTTCCAGCATTCAATATTAGAGCTGTACTTGGGATCAGAATCCAAGCTGAGAGGGCCAGTACACTTCGGTCTCATTATTGGAAGGATGACTTTTATGATGACTAAGCCATCTCTTGTAATGACCTGTTCAGGTTTGGGATTTGCATGTGAATGGCATTCTCCCCTTTATCAAGAGAACATGCATACTTTGCAGGTCAGTTAGGGATTTTATTAGCAAAACTTGCCTGACAAGCATTAAAAATGGGTGAGCTTGACCTTAAACTGATATAATACTTTAGCCTACATGGCACAGCAGCTATCTGAATCAGGTTGTGCTGACAGATGCACTCAGCCATTAAATGTGGCATAGTAGTTTGACCGTGGAAGTAAGGTGACAGTATTTTGAAATGAGGAAAGGATAGTTAATGTTGCGTGGCTCAGTACAAGGGTCATATGTCTGACCAAATATTTAAATTCTAAGGTCTGGTATTTTGCACTTACATGTGGTACGGAGCTCAGGGCACAGCCTAGCTGATTTCATCTAAGCATTGCAGTACTGCATAAGTCCACTACATTGAGTCATTGTTCTGACTTCAGCACAGCTCCGGGGTTGCTGAATATTGTTAGTAGCAGATTAATTTTTCTTGTAGTCTGAAATTGCTCTTGAAAATGATACTGTGCACTATAATGTACATATTGCATAGTGCCAAGGAATATGGCCCTAACGTACAGCACAGTTGCAGTTGTATTCGACCACAAGCATGTTGTGAAATTGTGGCTGCTTTTGAAACTTTCTTGTAACGGCCATCTATATGTGTTGTCAATACTGTAGCTAGAAAACACATGCTCACTCACATCATTCTAGATAGTGAAGGAGATCATTTAATCGGTTTCTGTAACGGACACAACTTTCCCTTAGGATACATTAGATATATGCTGGAATCCTCTACTGATTTAATAAATTGCATACTTTCTGAATCCTTCTGTGTGTGGTATACAGTGTTGCCTAAGGTCAATACACACACTGCCTGGCCAAAATAAAAGTCACGCACTCTAATATTTAATTGAGCCACCTTTAGCTTTGATTACGGCACACATTCGCTGTGGCATCATTTTGATAAGCTTATGCGATGTCACAACATTTATTTCTGTGCAGAGTTGCATTCATTTTTCACCAAGATCTTGTAGTGATGATGGGAGAGTCGGACCACTGTGTAAAGTCTTCCCCAGCACATCCCAAAGATTCTCAATGGGGTTAAGGTCTGGACTCTGTGATGACCAATTGATGTGTGAAAATGTTGTCTCCTGCTCCCTGATGAATCCTGGCATTGTCCTCATGGAATATGCCCGTGCCATCAGGGAAGAAAAAATCCATTGATGGAAAAACCTGATCATTCAGTATTTTCAGGTAGGCAGCTGACTTCATTTTTTGGGGCCATAACCAAGCCCGGATTCCCCACAAGGCCACCGAGGCCCGGCCTCGGGGTGGCAGGGCGCAGAGGGGCCGCAGAGGTGTCCTTGTTCGGAAGTTGCTGCCGTCGGGCGGTAAGTTGCCCCTCTACATTTAGTCCTGCTTTGCACAAGCAGGACTAAATGTAGAGTGAGGGAGCCGATTGTTCATTTACATGTGAACTCGGCGATGTCGCCAAGATCACATGTAAACAGTCTGCATTCTCCCCCTGCACTTACCTCTCTCCTCTGGTTCCGTCCTCCGGGCTCCGCCGCCGAGTCTGTCTACTCACTGCAGTGAGCAGAGCGGCAGGGTTAAAATTAACCCTGCCGCTCCGTGTAGACAGTGAGAGGGGAGAGCTGTGCTCTTCCCCTCTCACCTGTCACAGGAGTTCCAGCACAGTGCTGTCTAGAACTCCTGTATTGGAGGTGACAGGGTCAATAAAGAGAACCTGTCACCTCCAAAGGCTATCACACAGGGGATTGTTTTCTCCTGTGTGATAGAAATAAAGTTAGGTGGGGAAAAAAATGTAATTGATAAATTAAATAAATAAAGATGTAAAAAAAAAATAATATGAAATAATTTTTTAAAAAAATAAAGAAACAGTAAAAAAAAAATTGAAACTAAACTAACCCTTGTCCAATAGAAGACTCTTACCTATTTCCTTAGCTAAATCCAAGTGGTGACTTCTTTTTTGACATGCAGCGTATATGCATCTCTATCCTTATTGAAATGTATTGAATTGTATTGTAACTGTTCTGTCTCCATTTCTATTGTAAAGCAATGTTGGTGCTATATAAATCCTGTATAATAATAATAATAGAAATGTGCTTATCTTTTGTAGCTTGTAACAGGAGTATGGGAAGGAGGCTACAACTTCTTCTGTCAAGACACTCATAGTGGAGGGAAAGCAGACATGAAGGTAAGATACCTTCATAAACAAGTATTTTACACTCAATTATGTGGTAGGAAAATACCATGCATACAATGTGATATGAACATAACATGCAGGTGCAAGTATATGCATTATATTGATGTCTAGTGTAAAACCAAAAGAAAGGATAGAGAGGGAAGAAAGGAAAATCTGGTGAAAGGTCCATCGGTGTAAGCAATATCAACAGTAACCTAAGATTAGTGAAGATATTAGTTTCCTATTGAAAGTAATGAACTGCGGACAATGTGGGAACCTCTTAGAATCCCTCTCTCCAGTTACTATAAAGAGGGTTAATGTACACAACCATTTGAAATCAGTTTGAGTTTACTCTGCCCAAAAATCAAACTGCCTTAGACCCTTGTCCTTAGTACTAAAAACTGAAGCAAACCCATGTACATTAGCCCTAAATGACATTGCCCAACGCAGATTAATTCACCCCTGCTAGTGGTGATGAAGCTTTCACTCCTTTTTATATGTGGAAAAGGACCTGGTATGTGACTATGGCCTTTTGGGTAGCTTTTTGCTCTGCACATCCTCATCTTTTATATTTTACAATACAAAATTGGGTAATCTATTGTGCTTGTGTGCACTAAAATTAATGTGAGTGTATTTTTTTAAAGAGTTCAGCTAATACCGTGCAACCTAAAAAAATTTAACTGCCACCATTGTATTCTACATATTCTGTGCTTTTAGGAAATATTTAACTCTCGGGGGTTTTAAGTAATTTTCAGGCCTAAAATATGGATTATATCGTGTGAAAAAAAACACCCACAAAAGCTGCCTAGGCAGTGAAAGGGTTAAAGAACTGTTAGAATGGATGGATGCTTTAAAAGGGAATCATATCCATACCTAGCAGAACAGATGACAGGGGAACATCAGGTGAATTACTTGTGGAGAAGATTTTGGTTGATTCTCTTATTCCTATTAACCATGTAGTGTATATTATCAGATATAATAGATAATTAAAATCTTCTAGATGTATTCTTGCTTTACTGTTACCTTTTATCATGGTGGGCTATTTATTTCGTAATGCTTTAATTCTTGTTTTTCCCCCCAAATAAAATATATATACAGACAGCATATTACAGGAACAACAATTTGAGCCAACTGAATACAATTAATCATCTGTCAGCATGCAACTTCCTTCAGGACAGATGAAGCAGAAACCCTGCCAAAAGCAAATTACCTTGTTGTTTAGCAACTGGCATTCTTTAATCATCAGATAGGATGGCAAGAAAAATATAGGCAGTGAACAAGAAAGAAATAACAAAAGCGGGAGATGAACTTGATGGATCAGTTAAAGCATGCATACAGCCCTAGATCAGCTCTGATGTTTTGCATCCATCCTGCTGCATTAAGCTGTCATTTTGCAGTGAAACATTTTGTATACTCCCCTACCAACCACGTAGGCTCCCTTTGAGGGCCGGTTCACACCACAAACAGTGCGTTCCAGGGCGGTCAGCTTCTGGAACGCACTGTAACGCACTCCGGCTGACTACCTGCGTTCAGGGCCCGGAGGGGGCGTGGCGGTGCATTGAAGTCAATGGCACTGCAGCCATGCCCCCCACCCGCAGTAAGATCGCCCGCACCTGAACAGTTGGCACATCACTGTTTGTGTTGTGAACCAGTTCTGACTGCATGCCTCAGCTAAGGCAGCTTAGAAGTTATAGCTCTACCCAATCTCACACTCTACTATCTTTCTGTTCAGCCTCAGAATTAAATGTGTTGGCAGGACCCTCTGACACAGTGCATGCTATTTAACACCAACCACCACAGAATAGATACCAACACTAACACACACCCCGCCCCC